CGAGTAAGCGTTTCAAATTTGACATTTTTGCAATCCTGAATATCGCTGTATAGAGACCATTTAGTTTGTGTTATGTAATAGGTAGCAATAATTTTGATAGTGATGCGATAACCGAAGTGTCGGACAAACAGGAAATTACGCAGAACTTACAAACTGCTAATTGTTTTTCAATTTCGCTGTCTAAAAGTTTCTGAATTGTGATCGGTGTTGAATGACGACTTCACATGTCTGTGATCTTTAATGGCAGCTTGATCTGTGTAATAATCTATGGAAAAGGAATACAGGCCTGGGCTGTGTTTAGACCAAGTAATTTTTATTTTGATGTCATAATTATGCCGGTGACAATTAATAATATTGATGTACCAATTTAGACGAGAAAGTAGCATGCATTTCACAGGCACTTTAAAGAGTGTTAAAATTTTATGGAGAGTACGTGGCATATGGTGGAAAATATGATGTACTAAACACGTCAGAATTTGATGATCAGTTCAGCTTCAAATTTGCATTGTGTTTTTTAACTATTGAATACATGTATACGAGTGCTTGTCAACCCCTAGATTTTGTGGGAATTCTGATAGTTTATCGTTTAGCTTATGGTATGATATCTCCCAATACTAAATATAGTGTTAAAATTAATAGTATATCAGAGTGCAATTAACATTTCACCGCGAATTAGAATCTAGAATAGATCCCTGTATTTACATCAAACACTTGAAACAATTGAATAGGTACGAATAGTGTATATGAACACCGTTAATATTAGTAGTCAGTGCAGTTGAATTGCATTCTAAAAGCAATTGCATTGGAACGATCGAATTGTCAACGACGTAAATACATCATCATAAACAATCTCGTCTTTGAATCATAATCAGTCCTATATGCTCTTTGGAATAATAATAATACTCACAAACGAGTCAACAGTCGAATAAAATAAAACGCTGAGGGAAATAAAAATGTCTTCTCTGCAACTCAGGGGTTGTGTGTCTGCGCAGTCGTGTTGTGAAAGATGGGAATTCCCGTATGACGTAAACGGTCCAACAACCAATCACGCAGGCTCAAATACCTGGGTTTCCCCGAACTGACGACTGGACAGTTTCTGCGTATACCCAGACACGGAAGAACCACTATGTAGCAGGTTTTTACAGACCATTTCAATTCATCACAGAGAAATGGCATATTCCTCTAAATCGATTTTAGTCGCGGGTGTTCCTGCCAACGCCGACGTCGATACAGTGACGAACAAATTGACCATACACTTTCAAAAAAAGGAATTTGGTGGCGAAGTCGAACAAGTGATACTTCTTGCCAACGATCGTCGCAATGGCGACCAGGTATGCTTGGTCGCATTTCATTCCCCTCAAGGTATGTATCGAGTTATAATTTTCACTTGAAAATATTAACATACTTTGTAGTGTCCGTGGTAAGTCATAGGTTGTGTTTTTCGGCACAGTATGTATGGAGCTCCGGGGGGGGGGGGTACTTGGCTGCTGATATGGTATAGGTGTGTAGCCCACACTGCAAAACCCAGGGCCCATTTAAGACCAAATTGAACCAAAAATGTATACCCCATCTTAGACCAAAATGTTGTCTGGTAAACCCCATTTTAGACCCGCCATTTGTCCAGCAGACCCCATTTTAGTCTTGGCATATTAAAAGTAGACCGAAATTATCTTAATAAATACATATACTTTGTATTAAATCATACAAGTATGCATGCATTCCATCAAAACTATAGATAGCTGAATAAACCGCCTTTTTAGACCCATGTCCATTTGACAATCAGTCATTGTGGACCACATTTTAGACCAATGTCCTAAATTTGTGGATCTCATTTAAGACCAGATGGCTTAAAAAACACATCCCAAAGGGCGGCACATCCGCGTAAGGTAAATTGCAGGGAGTAGCCAATCCTCCCCCCCCCTCCCCAGATGGAGCTTGGCCGTGTATACCGGCAGACAAAATCAATGATCCAGTACTCACTGTTTCAATTCTGTGCTCCTAGTTTTCCACATTCGTGAAAATATTTATACCAATTTTATATGCCTTTTATAATTGTCTTCGTAATTTTCAACCACCAATCGCATATACTTTCGTTGACTTTGCATGATGGATGTCAGTGTCACAGCATTTCAAAATTCAGGTCTATTTTCAGCAAATCAAAAATCACTCATTACTGTAAAACCATTTATTTTCACTGACATTTAATTTCACTATATTGATATTTTGAGCATATTCATTGGGTTTTAAGTTCAAGAATTTACCAGTGAAACAATGGATTTAATTTAGCGGAATTTAATTTTTAGCAAAAATAGCAAAATTAAAACCCAGTGAACCCAGTTTTTTTTTTTTACCTTTGCATCTTAGTTTATTTAATATTTGCATTTGCATAACACCATAGACCATAGAAAACAAGGACATTCAAAAGATATTCCAACTTCCTGTGTGCAATTTGGGTTATAATCTTCAGTAAAGTAGATTACATTAGTCCATATAACTGTCAAATTTAGCATCTGGAAACAGTTTCAGTACAGTTGTTAATTATTTATAGCTTTTGATATATATATATGCTTTAAAATTTGTGCTGTG